GAAATTAGTCATTTTTCAACCCTCCACAATCAATCAACTCAGTGATTTATTTAATTGCCCTACAGTCCTTACCAAAGGCTTTCATCCTAGGAAGAGGTTGTCATCCTACAACCAGCTCTGAGAACAAAGATCAAATCTCACTCAACATAACAGGTACAGGTTTAATAAATTATTAGGTTGAAAAATGTTTGGGGGATAAACTAATAAACACCAAACTGTTCTGTGTAGCCTTTTCAATTAGGGAAGAAATCTTTCCTGAGCATTATTAAAATGCATTAGGAAGTTCAAGCAAAGTTCTAAGTTAATTTGTGTTTCAAATCTAAAGGAAGGGGAGTATCTTAGAAAGACATTCTCTGTAATCAGATAAGGATGAAGGTACAGACTTTACCTATAAAACTTAAAAGCCAGTTTCAGATATTTTAAATATTTAAATATTTAGGTGGAACTATTTTAAAAGAAAATTTTGTTGCACACCATATCCAAAATGCTAAAAATTGTACACCTTGAGGTGTTGAAAACATGATCTAATGAAAATATTGGCTATTTCCACAGATCTGAAAAAAAGCTACTGAATTGTACTATACGCCTACTTAAGTTTTTGTTAGCTAAGCAAATAGATTTATTTTGAGATATCCATCTATGAATAATTGCCACTGCATTAATTCTACCACATTTTTAGGAATCATGACCTTGCATTGCAGACTCTAAAATGGATCTGAATTTGAAACCTTGGAAACACTAGCGATAGAAGGGTAACGAGAAACATCATCATAGGGGCTTCTACAGCTTCTTTTAGGAGGAAAGAATCTGATACACATGAGTAGTTTCAGGGCACTAAAAAGCAGCTTAAAGCTGAACATATGAACCCTGTGTATAAACAATACAAAAAGAAAAGGTCATTACTGCATCAGAATTACCATCATAAAAAATATTATAAATAATATTAAAGTCAGACTTAGTCAATAACCACAGGGTTTTATTATCTTCAACACTACCGACAGCTTAATAAAATATGCTTAACAAATCATTTGTCTGAAAATTGAAAGTTATATTCCTATGTAATTACAGAAACAGTATTTTTAAAAAGTGAATGGCAATATTTATTTTATATCCATCATCTGATTTTAATATAAATATCTTGCAAATAAAAATGTTACAGCTTTTAGAGATAAGAAAAAAATATGAAAGAAAGAAATAAGAAAAAAATCTCAAAACAGGACCCAGAAGGTCAACTAATTCAGCACAGTTTTGCAGTGTGAAATAAAAAGTCTATCATAGAAAGTTACATGGAAGTGTAAAACTTCTGTTTCTGGACTTTGATCCAAGCGGTCATAAAACCTTGTCCTCATTAGTAACTCCTATTTCCATTATATGCCAAATATTCTCAAGCTTTTGCCTAGTACAAAACAAAGCAATAAGAGGTCAATCACGTTACCCCTACAATACTAAATGATCTAAAACATCACCCACAATGGCAGAAATGACTAGTAACTAATGAAGGTAACATTATTTTAACGCAGTCAAGAATAACAACAGCTGTTAAAGTGGTATTAGCACCGGGAAGCCTTCATTTGCAAATGCATGAAGATTAGAGCCCTTAATTAACACAGTATCTCAGGCCCCTAGAACTGCAAAGTTGTCTAGAATGCTGAGGGTGGGAGTTTCTGTATGTTGTAGTTTACTAGTCTCAAATTAATTTTCATGCCAATAGATTATGTTATGAACTGTTCAACTGACACTCAAATTCACATAAACAGGCTGTGATTACTAAAAAGCATCTATGCTCCAAGCTTGTAGCTTTTAACGAGGTGCTTAGCTCTGTATTTGAAGATAGTTATAGGAAACAATGTAATATAGCAGCGGAACTGCTTTCAAGGTCAACCAAAATTCACAGGTATTTAAATGAGAATTTAGGGATGCCAGAAACCTTCATTCTGTTCAATGACTACTACTGAGTACAGATCATTCAGTTTGGGGATAGGATAAAAAAGCATGCATCAACATGCCTGTTTACCAGCACAGATGGCCAATCTAAGTGAATCCAAATTTATTTTAAATATAAAAACATGTTAAATGTTTCTACAGAACTGTTTCATGGGGTCCTGAATCACATACAGTACTCATTTTACACTTACAGAGTGTAACAAAAGGGATAAAAGCAAAGTAACAGCTTCTAGTTAAAAGAAAAAAAAATCCTAGCTGTAAAGTTAAAATGTCTGCAATAAGTTTTTACCACAACCATATGAATCACACTGGGTTTAGAAGTTTGGAATTTTTATAATCAACTACTGTCTAATCTCTCAATCTTAAATCTCCAGTTAATGCCACCAACTATAAGCCCAAACAGGAACCTCTCTGACTACACACAAGCTCTTAGATCATATTCTTTAAACTGACAACTTTCAGCACTTTATACTTAATGAGGGCCTGCACTACTCTTAAATATTTTACACTTTCATTTTCCAACTTTTACTCAACATAAACTCTTAGAAATATGTAAGAATATATACACACATACATGTCATAGAAAGTGGTCAGCCTATTGTCAACATCAACTATAATATAAAAACCGTAACTAAAAAAGTCTTTATATAGAGTTTCAGATGATCTAAATTTTACATGGAACAGTGTAACTGAGAAATAAGGATTTTAATCCTGTGCTACTCGGGAGAAAAAGTAATGTGAAAAGAAAATTAAATTTAACCCTTTCCATTTAACTTCCAATAAAATGTTACTTTCAAAGATTTGGCAGGCTCTGAGTGAAGTGTTCTTATGTATGACTACTTAAAAGGATCACCAAACTATCCCAAGTTTCTGTCTTTAAAGGGAGAGAAGGAAATAAAGAAGAGGACATTGGTGTTGATTTATAAGACAAATCACTTTTTTCTTTCAACCACTAATAATCTGCCTACAGAACATCTCCAAAGAACAGGCTGACACAGTGAAAAAAATCAGCCCAGCTCTCCTACCCACTCCCCATTCAATGAGGGCAGAAAAGTGGAAGTGTGCAAGGGTGAAAGGAAACTAGGGACAGATGGCCTCGGAGTAGCAGGTGACCTTTGAAAACTGGGGGCCCACAACAATCAATAATTCCAGATCTAGATGGCCTTAGTGCCTCACCCCAAACTCGCAGGAAACTGTCCTTTGAAAAGAAACCACTTTTCTTTTCAGGGTTTATCCTCTGGTTGCTCCAGATTTAGATTTTGAAGGAAGACAGCCAAAGCGGGCAAGAGGACTTTAAAAGGAGGGCGGAGTAATTAAACAGAAGAGATAAGATTTGCCCTAAGCTATCGCCTCTGTCCAAAACCCCCGAAAGTGATGAAATCTGCACAAACTCGTTAGGAGAAACAGCCTTAAAAAGAGCCCCTTCTAAAATCCCAAAGTAATACACCGTAAGAGAATAAAGGAAGACAAAAATATCAGACAGTCCATTTTCAATGAAGCATCCCTCCCCCCCCGCCCTACCCCCGGTGTGCCCTGGGCGCCACCAGCCAGCACCCAGCCCCGCGCCCCCAAGGGAAAGTAGGAAGTGGGGGGATGCTGAAGGGACTACCTTGTTTTGTCTCCAAAGGGCAACATAGCAAACATGGGAAGTTCGAAGTGCAGACCATGCGGCCTCCGCACTCTGGACTCCGGGAGGCGCCGGGGGACGACGACGTGCCCAGGTGAGGCGGTGACTCGAAGCCTGCTCCCTTACCGACCCCGCCACCGCACCGCCGCCCGCCGCCGCCCGCTCGCTCCGCGCTGCGCCGCCCCCTGGCGGGGAGCGCCCGGCAGAGCGGAGACCAAGCGCAGGCGGGTGGGAGCCCAGCGCCGTGCCCCGGCCGGCCGCTCCACCATCACCGCCTTGAGTGCGCTTTCCCGGCGGCCAAGGCAGCCAGCGCCAGCTGCCCGACGGCCGCTGCCTGGAGGCGGCGGCGGCGGGTACGGGACCCTTCTCCAAAGAGGCGCGTCCTGGAGTCAGCCTGAGTCCGCGTGCAGGGGCCTTTGCCCGCGCCAGCGGCTTCTCACCAACTCCTCAGGCTTCGGGGGATCCGCCCGCCTCCACTCTCCGCTCCAGTTCCTTCTTCCTCGGCTTCAGCCTCAGTTCCTCCCCAACTCTACGGCGAGCGTTTCCCACGTGCGCCCCAACTGCCCCCCGGGCAGCCACCTCCCAAAGGACAGGCGCCCTCCTCCCCGCCCTTGACAGCGGCCGCCCCGGCGCTTGGCTCTTGACCAGGAAGAGCTGGCCTCTGGGGTCGGCTGGGGCCGCGCGGGACCCGTCAGCCCCCCGCTGTCGGGTCGCGCAGCGCCTCCCCAGCGCCCTTTGTGTGCGCGCCGCGAACCCCTCTGCGGAGCCCTTTCAGCGGCGCCGCCTTGGGAGCAAGAGAGAGTGAAAGGAAGCGCCGGGCCAAGCAAGGGACTGGAAAGGGGCAAAAGGCGACAGCACTTACTCTGGGAAGATTCCGGCATGTTGCTGCCTTTGGGCTCCTTGTGGTCTCGCCCCTACCCCGGCTTCCCCGCCCCGCCAAGGGCCAGGGCGAGGGGGGACGGGGGAGGAGCGGAGCTGCTGGGACCGAGTTGGAAACGGTGCTTCCGGAGCCTCAGGGAAGGGGCTCGAAAACTGTTTTGGTTTCGCTAAGGAGATTTAGGGGGACTAGGAGGCTAAAGAAGGGCTGGGGAAAGGCCCGTGAGCGCGGATGTATGTAAATAATCTTGCTCTCAGGGAATACCGAGGCAGCCGGGGTGTGTGTGTGGGGGGGGGGTCCGCATGTACATTTTTGTATTGAACTTTGTGAGCAAGTTGGATCGAATCCCACGCTTGGGCTTTTCGACTGTCCTGGCCATAAAGTCGAGGTCTCTACACCCTAACAGGACCAAAGACCTACTTCAAAAGCAAACGGCCTGGGAACCGAGGTCGTTTAATGGTAAAGGAAAAGGAAAATTCAGTAAGGGAGAGAGATGAGCCCCCAGGTCACTCTCAGCGCCCCGGGTGGGTCTTCCAGGGGTCCTCTTCTTACCTGGTGGCTTTCCTAACAAAGTAAGAGAAGGTAAAGTCCCAGTGATCATCCAGCCACGCTTCCACGGAATTCTGGTACCCCTGCAGCTGCGACCCCCCGGAGCCGGGGCTGGCCCGCTCCATGATCCGCGCCCAGCGTCTGTGCAGCTGGTTTGTGCCGTTTTCCACCCCAGCTGGGGTCTCTCCCTCGGAGGAGCCCGACTCTGCCCCGAGACCCTCCCCCTCCGCCTTGCTCCAGTCCGGCTGGCTTTCGGCGAAGCTGCTCCGGCAACCCGCCAGCCTCTTGCCGCGCCCCGCCTCTCCTGGTGCTCACCGCTCCCAGGTGTGGCGGGTGGGGCAGGCGCAGCAGCCGCGCGTCCTCCCTGGGGTCGGGCGGAGACTGGGTCTCGCAGTCTGTCGGGTCCCCAGATTCCAAGGCGGCGGCGGAGGCAACTGGCCAGCTCTCCGGAAGCTAAGTGGCCACGGCTGGAAGGAGGCCACTCCGCCGCTGGGGTGCGCTGTGTGCTGAGTGGGTTCCAGGGGAGCGCGCAGAGGTGACTGCGGGTGTGTTCGCAGAGTGACCCACAGTAAGAAAGGGAGAGTCGCGATGTGTGCGCCCATCCCAAGTCCTGAAAGCTGGAGTTAGGGGAATTTGCCACCAAAAGTAAAGAGGTGCTGCTACCCTGGCGACTTTTCTCAGGCCTGAGTGAACAGTGACCGTCCGGCCTCGCTTTCCTCCAACCCAGGGCTTGGGTCTGGAAGGTGCAGGGATCGACCTTCCTCGGAGCCCAGGCAGCCCGGGGGTGTGTGCTACGGATTTGCGGGTCCTGGTGGGTAACTTCCAACAAAGGCATTCCCGTACTTACTATGTTGTCAATAACCACAAATAATTATAAATTAGGCGTCTTTGCATCAAACATTCCCTTTTTATGACTGGAACAAGATTTTCTGGGAAAAGGAAAAGGTAAAACTGAAATAATCATCATGGTTTGTGTATGAAGTCAGAAGACAAGGGCACCTCTGTACAGTTAGGTTAGAGGGCATAGGCGCTCTCCGGGGACAGTACAGATCAGACTGGTTAGCCCAAGTTTTATTAGTCATTTATATTTAAATGGAATTAACACACACCCCACAAAAAAGTATCCGTTTCAAAGGGCTCAGCTTTCCTACCCTATTTTGTCCTATCCCAGTCATGCTTTACAAAAAGGAATTGGTGTCTTCCTTTTGCTTTGTTCTCATCTCCATCTCCTTGTCCCGCAATTTGCAGTTTTAATACGGTATTTTGCAATGACCTAATTTGGGGGCAGAATTAAATCTGGAATTGTATGTTTCACAACGTGTGAACGACACCATTAGCAGTGATATACCCATAGTGATTTAGCCGACATACATTTAACAAAGTCCTTTCAAAATATTCTTGGCAAGAATGTTAGACATTACTCATAGAATGAGTATTACTACATAGAAATGCATAATTAAATTGATAATATAAGAACTTTAAAAAATGTCTTCCAATCCCCCAATGCAATGGTTTATCCTTCCTGCATTAAATAATTGTCCTTCTATAATTATAGTTTTTCTGAAACTTTACTGAGGTATGCAAGTAACCACAAACCAACAAAAAGTAAGCAAAGCCGTAGAATGTGAAATAATGTGCAATAAATTATATTAGATTTTAAAATGCGAGTTCTATGATCCTGATGTGTGATTACAGTGCCTGTGAACTCGAGACTTTGTCCTCAGAGCTCAGTTTTTCCCTGTGGAAATCCATGCATTTCTCCTAACAGACGGTCAGTTATAATTTAAAACTATACTTTCCTACAAAAAATGAAGTGAATTTTTGGCTTGAATTGTTTGCTTCAGTTGGCTGCCTTGATTAAATAAACAAGCACTATGTAACTGTCCATTTTTCTCTTAACCTGAAAGGGTTAATTATCAGAAACCAGAGAGTTTTCTGAAAACTTACTGCAAGAAAAACAATCCATGGATTCTGCCATTAGCGAGTCTGAATTCTGTGTGGTATACATGGCAGATTGGGGGTTCCTGTGAAGACCGGTTATGTGAAGTGAGCATATCACAGTGGTTTGGAGGATGAGTTATTTCAAACTGTTCTAGTCTCCAGAGATCTCAGATAAAATTTGTAACAAACCTCTGTAACTTTAAAGTTCTTAAAGCTGACCTCTTGTTTCCCAGCTCCATTTTATTTTTTATCCTTATTTGATAGATTGTTTAATGCTTTAACTTACTGGTATGGATTGCCCTAAGCATCTCCAACCTTGTTTTAGAATGAATTGAAGATTGAGTAAATAATAAACATTATCAGGAAATAACTTTAAAAATGCTGTTAATGCTATTTACAACAAACAAACGTGCAATGGAGGCCTAACAGAAAGGCCTCCAATTCCCATTGTACTAGAATAAAACCCAAACTCTAATGTGGCTTACAAAGTTCTGCATGATTTGACTTTTACCTACCTCTACTGTTGAGGTTTTGATCATACAACTAGAAAAAACTAAATCTACGATGATCAAATTCTCAAAAAAAGGAATGTGAATTATGAGTCATGAAATCTTTCCTGACCTGCTTTTTTTTTTATTCAAATACCATACAGTATATTCTGTCCCCCTTGCAGCCTTCCAGTGTATTCCAGGCTTGAGAAAATTAATATATTTGCACTTATAATGGGATCCAGGTTTCTCACTATTGAAGGGGGAAGACTAGAAGGTACATTGTGATGTTGAAATGGAATTGGAGGTTAAAAATTAAATATGTGGGGTTGTGTGTGGGTGTGAGTTGTATCAAGGGGAGAAATCCCACATGATGCAGAAATGCAGGCAGTTTCTAAGAGCTGTGGGTACCCTCCAGCTGACAGCCTACAAGGAGTTCCAGTCAGCAAGAGAATGAATCCCTCAGTCTTACAAATACAAGGAACTAAATTCTGCTAACAACCTGTGTGAGCGCAGAAGTGGATATTTCCCCATTCGAGCCCCAGATGTGACCACAATCCCAGCCAATATATAGACTTGCAGCCTTGTAAGATGCTAAGACATTTTCATAATTGACATCTTAATAATAATGAGTCCTATAATCCATGAACATAGTAGATTTGTCCATTTATTCGTCTTTTAAAATTTCTCCCAGTAATGTAGTTTTTAGTATATTTGTCTTACACATATTTTGTTGAATATATCTCTGTACCTACTTCAGCTCTGTCATGGAAATGGACGTCCATGAGAAGTACTAGAAGCAATGACATTTCAGTAGTAATGAGTACAGTTAGTACCCAGATTTTGGTTTCTAAATACCATTCTTCACTTTAAAAGGAATCAGAAGTCTTTGGAGAAGAAATTCCAGGTCTAGGACACAGAAAGTATAAGATAAGCCTGGAAAATCTTGTTTTGCTAGAAAATTAGAAAGGCTTGAAATGATGGCAGTATATCAGAAGGACAGAGGATGTATCTGCAGGGAGCTTCCAGTGGACAAATCTAGAGCAATTTAAATATCAAAATTGGAATACAGTAATAGTAACAAATTTTAACAGCTGACTAAAATAAGAAACTGTAATTTCACTCTGGTATAAATAAATCACTAGGTAAGTAAGTAAATAGGAAAGAAGAGAATGTTCCTTACAGTAGAATGCTAACTAATAAATACAAAAGGAATTATGTAGTAAGAGAATCATTAATGGTTACTAAAACTAATCAGTGAGAGTTTGATGATGAATGGGGTATCTCCTCATAAGTTTTTTATTAGTCATCATGGGGAAATAGTATCTTTACAATGGAGAGAACTTATGGATACCTTTTTAACCAAGTGATCAATTTAATATCACTTATATTGGGACAAACCAAGCATATACACCTCTAAATAAGATATTCTGAGAAGGACACAACATCACTTCCATGTTATTCCTGAATCTAAATCTAATCATGAGGATCGGATTGAGGGATTTCCAAACAAACACACCCAGTTTAAGGCAGTTTGTACAAAATAACTGGCCTGTATGCTTCCAAGGTTTCAAGGTCAAGAAAGACAAAAAAGACGGAGGACCTAGTTATTTACTACTTTGTAACAATATCACCACAATTTTAGTGGCTTGAAGCAACGGCACATTTGTCATCTCCCAGTTTTTGTGAATAAGGAGTCTAGGCTCCGCTAAACTGTGTCTTCTGCTCAGGGGAGGTCTCACATGGCAGTCAGGCGGCAGCCAGAGCTGCCTCATCTGAGGGTCGGTGGGAGAAGGATCTGCTTCCAAGTGCACTCAGGCTGTTGGCAGAATCCAATTCTTTGTAGTTGTAGAACCGAGGGATTCTTTTTCTTGCTGAGTTCTGGCTGGAGACCCTAACAGGCTGTTGGCTGGGAGCCCCCCTTTGCCTCAAGAAGCCACCTTCGTTTCCTTGCCTTCATTATCCCAATGTGACTGCCTGCTTCCTCGGAGCTAGCAAGGGAGAGAGACCCCAGCGAGACGGGACTATAATCTTATGTACATAACCATGCAATCACATACACATAATTACATACATCCCATCACCTTTGCCATATTCTGTTTGTTGGGAGCAAGTCAACCTTCTGCCTTCACACAAGGGGAGGGGAATCACAACAGCGTGTGAACACCAGGAGAAGGATCCATGGAGGCCACCTCAGGAATCCTTCCAGAATAACACTGTGTCATAAAGCATAGTGAGTGTGATGTAGCATGTGTCCAGTAGATATTTGTGGGGGCAATTTGAAAAAAAAAAGTTTTCTTAGATTACTTTGGCAGTACTTTTGTGTATTGTATGTAAATATGTTAGCAATTGATCTTTGAGGAAGGGTTATTTCTTTTCGTGGTCTTTGGAAGTCTTATCACAATTAATAAAATCACCTTTTACTCTTAGCAGCCCTGGGCTCATGTGAAATAGTTTTCTGAGGACGGTGTTGGAATACACACTTCAAGCTGTTGCACGACAGGGATCAGTCTAATATCTTAAATGTGTGAATTTAAATTAGATCATAATTTTCCATTTCAAAGACCAAGCCAGCTTATGAATAATAAAGCTGTGTAACGGTGCAATTATTCCGATCAGTACAGAGAATTTTCTTTCCCAAATCAAACACAGAGTTTTCTACCCAAGTCTCCTGTGGCAGCCCAGAATTCAGTTTGACATACAAAGTCTGATCCATGTAAAAAGACATTACATAGAAGATGGTGAGCAGCTGTTTTTTGTACCAGCGAAGGTCACACATAGAGGAAATGGATGTCCATAAAAACAGGAGGGATTTTGAACAGATACTAGACTCACTTTCCTGACAGAGGGCGGTGATACAGATGGATTTATGATGAAAAACAACTGTGGAATTTTTCCCTAGAGACTTTTACAAATGGGGTGGACAACCATCTGTTGATAATGCTTTGAAGTCCTGTATCAGAGACAGATTGACCTCAAGAGCTCT